AAAAATGGGAAGACTTCCTAAATGTTGTAGGCTCCCAATTATAGATGTGGCGCGCTTCACACCGATAACTAGGACTCTACAGACACGGCTTCATAGACACCCTAGGACTCTTGAACTCTGTGCTCTGATACCAAGTTTGTCACGCCCCGAGCCTACACTCTCTTAGAATGGAACAAAATGATCCAAAGATCAGCCCTATACAACAATATAATCCCAAAAGAATTGGCTAGGGAAAAGACCAAAATGCCCTTAATGATTCCCGGACGGATTTCCTTGTCAACTGCCCAACTTTCAAAGGCCCTAACTCGCTCATACGAACTCGGAATTGAGCAAACTCGGCGGCGTTGGAAAGATCGTTCCGAGGGCTATGCAACCATAACTGGAAATACTTCTAACTCATCATGAGCTAGAAGTTACGACTGATCAAAGTTGGCCAAAAACTCACCTTTTCCATACTTGGCCAAAAATTTTCCAGATTTTTAAATCCTTTCCAAAAATGAAAATTTCCAATTCTAAGCCTCTTCAATTATTTCACATTGCCGGATGTTACATATTTATTCATTTTGATAATGTGTTTTTAAAATTGAATGTTTTCTAGTTTTGGATATGTAGAGTTTGATTTTATTTTTATAATCTTGGATTAATTCTCAATTTTTTTCTATTTTTTTTTTACCTTTTTAAAATTGTATAAATAAAAAGAAACAAAAAAAAAAGAATTAAAAAACTCAAAATTTAAATAATTTTCAATTTGACAATGAAATGGCGCGTGTGTAAAACACTAGTCATTGTGAGACTGGTATTGTAGTATTAGGGATGACTAAGAATCACTTCAAAGATGTTGAGGACACCGGTATAATTTAAGTGCTAAAATAAGTTGTGCTGCCAAGTTTGATGAATTATGGTTTTATCCTTACTATAAATTAGAAGAATGTTAGGCAAAAGTTAAATTATTGTTTTATCCCTACATTAAATTAAAATGTTATAAGCTATTAATAAATTAATTATTAAATAATAATTGTATCATATTATTATATTATTATACTAATGCTAAACAGTATATACCTGCTTGTTTGTTTTATTCGTTTTTGGCTTTTGATTTTCTTCCTAATCTAAATTACTCTCCCATTACCTATAAATGTTCACTTATTGCTATAATAATTATATTAAAGAAGGTGAATGAAGAGTTGCACGGTATTAATTATGAGAGAATTGTTCACTTATAGCAAAAATAATGATGAATAAGGAGAATGAAGAGTTGGGGTAATTTACTATCAGAGTCAATATTATATTTGTAGCAAAGAGGTCTTATATAGCAAAAATGCATTATTGTTAAATAAACTTTTCATTTCACTCTATATACATTAGTTGATCACTAATCACTATCATTATATTCTTTTATTTTTTACGGGAGAAAAATGTACATGTACATTCTAAAACTTCATATGGAGCTTGCAATGTAATGGGAATGGATGTTGAAAATCTTTGCGGAGGTTGATAATCATATTTTCACAAAGTTGGCCTTCTAACAAGCATAGTAAGTAACTAATACAATTTCATGTTTTGAAAACTTCTCTTTTAATATTTAATTTTTAGGCAATTATTGAAGGAATTCAGTGCGTTTTCACTGATTTACATATTTTGGGTAAGTGAGATGGAAACTCTCTTCTTCCTTTATTTGTCATTTCACTTAATTATGTTATTTAAGTTGATCATCGAAAAGGTGCTACATTTATCTTTCTTTCATTAAATTTATTCCCTTTATTTTATAAGAGCTTAGTTTTTCCTATTTCATATCATACATAGCTAGCTACAATCTTTGGAAGAAAATTATTATAGATAATAATGATGGTCATCTAAGTATTATGTTGATTACCTAATTTTTTATTGCATTCAACTAAGTACCGTCTCAAAGTGTACAAAAAAGGCATCCACATTAGTGATGTTTACGTGCACTTCTTAAATTTAGAGCAAGAGTTCCTTGATATGTTACATATCGTCAGATGCTATATTATCTTAATTAGTTTTACATAACTCAACATATTTTATTTTCCAAATAAATAACTAAAAGTTAAATGAAAAGAATTAGATGTTACCCTTGTATTTGTATAGAGAAACATATATATATTTAGATATTTTAGTCTAGAAGATTATATTTGAAATCCTTCTTTTTATTTATTTTTGGGTGCAAAAGTAACATATTAATCAATACAAGCTTTATCGTATTTATAAAAATATAATTTGATAAATATTTATATCTATGAGATTAGACTTACATAAATTTTAGATCGTAATTCTTATATACACGTGCAGCGCACGTTTCTAGAACTAGTTTTCACATATAAGCAAATACTGTTGCTACAAAATCTTTTACTAAATGGGCATCTTCTGCCACCTATATATATATATATACACACTCCCTCTGTCCTAATTTATGTGACACTTTTCGGAATTCGAGATTCAAACAAGTCTAACTTTGAACATAAATTTTTTATAGATCTTTTAAACATTTTGAATTATCAATTGTTGTGACTTATAGTACTTTTTACGTAGTTTACAAATATATAAATTTCATTTCAAAAAAATTGAAGATTTCATGTGAAAATTCCCGGTCAAACTTAAATTGTTTGACTCTCAAAAAATGAAAAGTGTCACATAAATTAGGACAGAGGGAGTGTGTGTGTGTGTATGTGTGTGTGTGTATATATATATATATATATATTACCTTAAAAGCATGAACTCTTAACATGAATGTTAAATTACTATAATATTTCTAACTTAGATTGTGACTTTTTCAATGAGTTGTGACTTTTTTGATAAGTTGTGACTTTTCTCAAACGGTTGTGATTTTTCGATGAGTTGTGACTTTTCCAAAGAGTTGTGACTTTTTTAATAAGTTGTGACTTTTCCAAAGGGTTGTGATTTCTCGGAAAGGTCATGACTTTTCAGATAAGACACAAAAACATTTGTTCATATGAGTTGTGACTTTTCCGATAAGTTGTGACTTTTCTTAAAGGGTTGTGATTTTTCGATGAATTGTGACTTTCCAAAGAATTGTGACTTTTTCAATAAGTTGTGCCTTTTTTAAAAGGTTGTGACTTCTCGGTAAGGTCATGACTTTTCTGATAAGACACAAAAACATTTGTTCATACTACCCTTTGTTGACTATAAATAGAGGGGTTTCCTCTCATTTTTCAACCACAATTGTTTTTAATCTTCTACTCTTCTTTTTCTTGTATTTTAAAATTTTTGTGTGATTTATTGTCGTTGAGTGAGTTAAAATTTTAGCGGAATATGAGGTACCACTATTTTGATGAAGTAAATCGTTCTATCCTAAGAGGGTATATTCTATAACCTCAAGTACTTTAGGAAAATAATTTTGATGATATCATAATTAGTTTTTTCTTAATATATACATTAGTATGTAATGTTCCAATATATGAAGTTAACATGATATAGTTTAAAATCATTTGTTTTTGTTAACAATTTCTCTTGTGATGTAGATATATGCTTTTGAATATCTTTTTCCAAAATTTAGAGAATTGTCACGATTTGTTTTTTTATGCTCAAGACAATAGAATGACTTTTTTTTTATCAATGCTACTTATGTGATTTAGATTGTCAGAAAGTTTTCTTCAAAATAGTTAATACTATATAAACATTGCCCTTTTGTTTTACTTATTTAGTGTTTCTTAATATTTTAGTATTTTAGATGAAGAAAAGTTCATATGACTTGTATTAATGCCAGTTGAAGTTTGTATAAGTTTAATTTTTATATACACAACAAATATAATCTACAAGGTAATATTAGTGAGATACAACTAATTCCATGATTGAACCTCATCAAATTAAAATAAATATAAACATTATTACATTTAACTAATAAAAATTTTCATTGACCATATTCATAGGTTCGCGTGAATAAGAGATATATATGATGATCCACATTGAACATTCACAAAAGAATCTGCAATATTATTTTATACTAAATTTATTATTCAAATCTTTGCTTAACTAAACAATAGTATTTACTATAACATATATTTTTGGAATTGGTAATCACGTGTCAAAAAACTAGAATATATATATATATATATATATATATATATATATATACTTGCAAAATTCAACTATGACTAAGGCTGACTTTCTTTAACTCAATAAGTTAATTTGGGAAAATCATTCTCTGCAACCAGAAGCGAAGTCAGAATTTAAAGTTTATGAATCATTTTATGTATATATAGTAGATGTTGAACCCCCTTCGACTACTTTGTATGTCTATTTCTACAGATTTTGAACCTCCTTATTGAAAATCCTGACTCCACCACTAATTATAAGTTATAATAATTTTTACATATTAATAAATTTTATAAGACTCAATTTATTCATTAGTCGCCAGACAACAAAAGAATAAGTTCCAGTCATAATGGAATGGAATTAAAAAAATAGTATATATTGCTACAAGCATCGGATTATGACAAGAGCTAACTATCCTCAACTTCCCAAATCTCTACCTCTTCTATATCTATACTTGTAAATGGAGTTCCGACGAACTTCTTCCTACCTACCAGAGGTATCAAGCAGGGGGATCCTTTGTCGCCCTACATTTTTATTATTTGTATGGAATCCCTCTCCAGACTCATAAATTATGCTATCCAGGAAAAGCTTTGGCAACCAATATCTCACCTTCTATTTGCCGATGCAATTGGAACTTAGATCAGTTCCCGTTTGTATGGACGATCCTTATCTATAAATAAAATCCTTCCGTTTTTAAAGCAAAAAAAAAAAAAAAAAGATCTTATGATAGTAGATTGTTTATTTATAAATGATGCCATTATACAAATTTGTTTTGACTTTAACGGAAGGATCAGAGTCTTGACATAGCTGGTAAAATCAAATTATAGTGATAATAATAATGTTGATGTACTAAAATGTATAATGTTAATTTCGTAACTCATCGTACATATATGTGAATATTATTTATTAGCATAGGAATACACGTGCAACGCACTAGTCCAACAATCGGTTTCTTTCAAAGAAATTTGTGGGCCAGAGTTCAAAAGCATCATTGATTGTTGGCATTATAGGATAATCTTCTTGGCAAGGTACATGATGAAATCCAAGTGTGTACCATAGCACAATATCCTTCTTTTCAATTGACCTATTCCTGTATATTACAACACAAGAATAAAGTACTAAAATCATTCAAGGGAAATATTGTCTAAGAAGTAGATGAATTTAATATATATAAATTGATTTTTTATATATACTATTAGTGGACTTTAACATGTTGTAGCAGGTATTTTTCAGGTTAGTAATCTCATATTTTAACGATGGTACATGTAGTTATTTTTAGGTAACTTGATAGTGTACAAGTTATTTATTTTTAGTGTCAATGTATCAAGTATCTTAACTTGTTATATAGCAGGCAGCTTATCTTATTTTTCAGGTAACTATTTTGAATTTTCTTATGAATGGCTATGTGTAGCTATTTCATAGGTATAATACATAAACAGAAACTTAAATTTGACTTCAGCGGACAAGTAAACATTCTAACTTTGAGAGTGCACATCTAGACACCTTAACTTGATCTCAAATGACAACTAAACACTCCAACTCATGTGGACACCCGACGTTAACGTGACACATAAATTTTGGAGGTGTGCCGATCCATTTGTAAGTTTGAGTATTCAAGTGATACAGTCGACATGAGTTGAGATGTCTAGATGTACATATTCAAAGTTGAGATGTCTAGATGTGCCAACTCAGGTCAAGTTTGAGTGTCTGTTTATCTATTATGCCTATTTCATATGAAGGGCATGCCTGATATAGAGAGACAAGATGATTTTACCTGCCACTCCAAACTGAGGGTCCATCATCACCATGACTTCTATCAGCATAGAATCCAGCAGCCCATCTTTCTGACTTGTTGTAAGGAGTCACCCACAGTTGATACTTAGTATAAGCTGCTCTAATTTGAGGGTAATCATCATCTGTTAACAAAGACATAGATGGTCTACTAGGAATTAACTTATAACCTACATCATTTCCAACTTTACTCTTTTTTTCTGTATTAACAAACAACAATTCAGCTGCTTCTATCCCAAGTTGTGTCCTGCCTTCAGATTCTGTTTTCACAGTTTCTTTAACAACACTCCAATAACTCTTCCTTGGTGACATATTTTGGTCTTTCACTCTTGTAGTTTTCAGTTTAGCTTTCAAGAATGAATTCTTACTACCATCCACATCAAGATCAATGCGATACGTAAGGAAATGATCATGGTTCACTGCAATTGTGTTTTCTGCCACAAGAGTACCGTAAACATCCTGATTTATTTGATCGTTGTTCGTGTATTCCACAGCCTTCATCGCCATAATCCCTGTTAGACTTGCCTTCGCCAACGAAAAAGGAAAAATGTAAGACAAAAGAATAAGGTGAAAATGATTGACTAGCTATAGTATCTTATAAATTCTTACTCCAACTTTAATGGATCCACTTTGTTTGAACTCCCAATCAAGTATATAGTCATAATTTCCAGCTGTTGTTACCATTCTGATCACCAAATTAACTTCTTTCTGTCCCTTGGTGTTCTACAAAAGCCATAGAGTTAATAGAGTGATCACAATTTACTAGAGAAATTGAAAAGTTAGAGGCTTACTAATGTTCCAGGTACTCCAATTTCTGTATGCCTCCATGCAGCATCACCAGCATATCGTTCAAAAATGCAAATAGCTTGAGGGACTTGTACTACTTGACCTTCTGAATCAGCCATGTAACCATCCATATACACCGCATTGTTTGGACAGTCCAATGACCGGACAAGGGTACTGGTCAATCTCCCAAAACCAAATTCACCAACATCCATAAAGGTCCTGTAGTACCATTCAAACGTAGGATCCATGTAAGGCACGAATATCTCAGAGACATGACCTTTATAGAGTACACGTCGATATTCATTTCTCACAGCATCGAATATAGAAGCTGTAGATATGATCATCCCTGCTCTAGTATTGAATCCAACATGAAGTTTCCAATTAGCCCAACTAACTTCATGACCTTGGATGTTTATCCTGGAGGATCCTGTTTCATTGCAAGTAACTGATCCCTGGCTCGACGAATTGAAATCAGCAGCTTTTGCTTCAGGCAATGGGGATCTGAATCTATCCAAATACTTAATAATCTTCATTGATTCAACATCTACTAGTATAGTTATTCCTTCAATAGGCCTTGCCCAAAAGTTAGTAGTTCCTCCAAGAGAAAAACATGGAACACTAAGAACTCTAATGGTCTTTACCTGACCAAACCATCCAACTGATAGTGGTATGCAGCTGACTTCAGATATATTCAATCCCCTCCGTGAAATCGATTCTTGAAATTTAGGATTACTCAATGGCAGGATGCTAGACTGTATAAGTTCATTGAGAGTAAAAGGAGGAAAGCCATGACCTAAGTACAACTTTTGTGATATGATAGTGTTAGTAGCCAAGTCTAGTGTGAGTTCATATGACTCACCATTAGCGCGAACTACTACCTTGGATCGACGATAAGGAAAAGAGGTATTGTTTGATTTATGAAAGGAAAGCCAATGAAGGACATCATTCTTTTCTGGTTCATCAAGGTCTACATCATGAAATGTTACATTGGAAAAGTGGGATTTTTGGATAATGACTCTAATTTTGTTGATTTCATCAGGATTAAGAGGATCTAAAGGATGACATTGAGAGTAAATAGAAAAGAACAAGAAGAAAAAAGCAACAGAAATGTGTAATACTTTTATCAGTTCCATCATGAAGTGGTGCTCTCAATTCATATGATGTTTCCAACTATATATAGCACTAGTCTCTGGAAACGTGCGTTTTCACGGGTTGAGTAACAAAATAGAAAATGTTGAAATCAACTATTGACTATTAGAGGCTACAATCTACATCTACTCGAAAGGCAGAAAATTTGATGATGAGGTTGGAATTTTCTGAAGAAGCTAAGCCTCGAAAAAGAAAAAAAAAAACCACATATGGTTAAAAAGAGTATTTTTACCATTTATATTTTATTCATTAAATAATACAAAATATAATAGATGATATTCAAGCATTTTGTTGTTATTCCTCATTTGCAGTTTCTAATTCTTTTTTTCTTCTGTTGAATTGGGCAATATCCTTTATTTGATCTCCAAAAGTTATTAACATTTTAATTAAAATGATATAATTTAATATTTAAATATTTTATAACATTTTGATTTATAGCAAAGGTAAAATCGTAATCTAACTTTTAATTTTGATACTTCTCACTTTAATAATATACTATGATTTGACTTCTTGTTATCTTTCAGGAGATTTGATTTTATAACCCTTTACAAATTTGTTTTTATAGTATTATATTCTTATTACAAGAGATTTTCATTTTTACACGAGAGACATTCATTTTTTATAGGGAAAATTATGCAAGTTGGCAAACATTACTTGTTTATTATTAAATGAGTAATAAATAGTTCATACAATGACATATTTACTATTTAACTAAATAATAAATATGTAACTAAAAATCTTGTTAGCTTTTGATTGAAAGCTAACAAGATAGTTACAATGTAACTAAATACTTATATATTTGCATTGTAGCTTATTATATATAGATGAGGTTACTGTGTTAGTTAATTAATGTACGTGACTATAGTTTAGTATAATGTGCTATTAATTATGGGACCACAAACAGTTTGTATACAGAAAGAAAAAGACCTCTTTCCTTTGTATACTCACTTATACAAATTTAATTTTATCTTTTCTCTCCATTTCCTTATTCTCTCCTACAAATCATTCATACACATTGAATTTGAATTTTCAAAATCTGCTTTCTCTCTCGTAACTGCCCAAAACGTGTTTCAATTGTTTTTTTATATTTTTTATTTTGTATATGATTTATGCTTGTCTTATTTTTCACAAAAGTCTTTTTTTTTAAAAAAAAATAATCAGTTTTTTTAAGGAAAAATTGGATGATGGAGAGGGTTTAATAAAAAAATTTGATGATCTACCATCGTTTTCGTTGGATTTAACAAATTCAATCGTATTATTTCAACGACCACCTATTATGATTAATTGATTATTTTAGCTTTCCTTAATCTATGCTAACAAAATACTATTGCTGCAAAATTCAACTATTACTAAGGGTGACTTTCTTTTAACTCAATAAATTTTGGAAAAGGACTCTCTATCATCAAAATCGAAGCCAAAATTTAAAATTTATGAATTATGAATTATGAATTATGAATTATAAATTAATAATTTATACCTATTAAATAATATTTGCTAAAGATTAGTTCTAGTCATTACACAATAAACAAATAGGGGTGATCTCGATTCATATGGTGTTTCCACCTATTTATAGTATTGGACATCTTGTTGGGTGTGTTTGGAATGAAGGAAAATATTTTTCGAGAAAATGTTTTCTTGGAAAATATTGTGGATTTCTAACTTATTTTCTGATGTTTGGTTTGTGAGTAGAAAATATTTTTTGTAAAAATATTTTTTAACTAGTAAAATAACTCGTGCATCGCGCGGGAATTTAATATTACGAAATTTATAAAATAATACTTAAAACCCATCTGTCATTTAAACTAAAACACTATAAAGGAAGAAGATAACTATAACATTTTATCATTTATCCTTCAATCAATCATCTTTAATTTGATTTTATAATTTATCATTTTGCTTACAGGAAGTGTTACTATTTGATATTTTTGAGGAATCAAATGAACATCAACCGGTAATATTAAATATTCTAATAAATAAATAATTGTCGGTGAAGGAATAAATAAATTTTAAAAGGCTGAAAAAAGTGAACGTGTAGAAAGTTCAGCCCTACCTTTTGCTTTACATATATCATTTTAAAGTTCTCATTTAAATGTATCATAAGTAATTATTAAAATGAAAATTAAAGGGAAAATGTATCATATTGGACAACAATTCAACTTATTATATATACTTGAAAGGGAAAAATATTACACAAAACTATTAAGTTTGTTTGGGTGTTTTATAAAAATCAACATACCAGAGTGATGAAGTTCAATTTGAAACTACACTTCTAGGTCATCCAGCACATCCCTGAACTTATTTATGTCAACAGTTTATTAGTTCTTATCTTCTTTTCATCGTTCACTTCGAACATCAAGGTGCGATAAAGGTTTTAAGGTCTTTATGTGCTTACAATAACATACCAAATTTGAATTTTGTCTTCAAGATATGGTAGTATAGATCTTTAAGGAATTCTTTTAATTACTATACCTTCAACAATTTTAGTAGAGAAAACTTGCATGAATACTCAATTAATGTGTGTTATTTATTGTACTAACAAATACTTATTATAACAATAATTTTGCAGAAACATAAACAACAAAGTTTAATAGATGTACTCAAAAACAACAATTAATAACATAAAACATAAATTAATGACTGCACAAAAAAAATACCAGAATTTGTAACAATAAAATGAAATAGAAAGGAAAAAATTGATCCCACTAAATACATAGTTTACGCTTAAGAAAATTATTCCCCTCTAGTACCCGAGGTTTAAAGAAATAGATCCTCTCAGGATAGGACAATTCTATTCACCAGTGTATTGATACAAAAATCAATGGTGTAGTGAGTCACTCAACAGGAGCAAAATACACGAATATTTAATTGTGCAAAAGAAGAAGAAGGAGTAGTTCAGAATTTTGGTTGTTTTAAAATGAGAGGAAATCCCTCTATTTATAGACAACAAAGGGTAGTGTGAACAAATGTTTATTGTGCCTTATCGTAAACGTCACAACTTTTTGGAAAAGTTACAACCTTTCGGAAAGGTCACAACATTTCATAAAAGTCACAACTTTTCATAAAAGTCGCAACTCTTTATAAAAGTCCCAACTTTTCATAAAAGTCGCAACTTTTCATGAAAGGGGAAGGCTAGTTTTGGAAATAAATAAATTAAAAGGGAATCCTGGATTCTGGTGGCGCCACGTAGGCGGGCGTAGGATTCTCTTCTATATATAAATATGATGTTTGGTTGGTGAATGAAAAATATTTTTCAGAAAATATCTTTTATTTTTGGCTTGAGACTAAATAAGGATAAATATTAGGAATCACATAGTTTTAATATGAAATTACAATTTATCCCTCTTTAGTTTGTAATTACATTAATCCCTTATAACACAAACCGGATACATAATATGTGGCTCAGATACATGAAAGAGTATCTCGACATTATAACATAAACCGGATACATAATATGTAGCTCGGATACATAAAAAACTAGCTCGGATACATTATAAAATAAACCGGATACTAGCTCGAATACATTAAATACTGGCTCGGATACATTAATATGTACCTCGAATGCAGTAAAGAAATAAGGGATTTTAGAGATTTTTAGAAATAGAAGGGGATATTGGGAATAAGGGAAATATAAAACGTGTATTTCAGTAATTTTTCCACTAAATAATACTCTTTAGGAAAATAATTTCAGATTCGAAAATCAACCCCGATAATTGACCTAGGACTCGACCCTGACACCCAAACTAGGACAAGACTCTAATACCCGTTCTAAAATCCAACCCTGAGATCTCACCAAGAAAATATATTTTCAAAAATAATTTCTTTAAAAAAATTGACGGGGTCACGAGGTGGGGGTAGCATAAAAATGCAATTTTTTTTTAAAATATTGAAATATTTTTCAAAAACAACTTTTAAAAAAAAAAAATGATTGGTGTGGCGCCGGGGGGAGGTAGGAGTGGGAATGGCGTAAAAAATGATATTTTTTTTAATTTGAAACATTTTTCAAAAATATTTTTTTTTAAAAAATAGACGGGGGTGGCGGGGAGGGGTGGTGGCATGGGTGGGGGTGGCCTTGTTGGGGGGGGGGGGTGAGAGTGGCGTAAAAATAAAAAATAAATTTGAAATATTTTCGAAAGAAATTTTTTGGAGGGGGTAGGGGTTGTAGGGGTTGGGTGAGGTAAAAAAAAACTTAAAATTTGAAACATTTTTCAAAAGTAATTTTTTTTATTTTTTTTGTTGGTGGGGATGGTTTTGGGGGTAGGGATGAAAATATATTTGAAATTTAAAATATGAGAATTTTTTTAATTTTTTTTGAATGCGGAGGGTCGGGTACGATGTATGATCAGGGTAAGAAAAAAAATTAAAGGATGAAGTAGAGTTTTGGAAAATGTTTTCCTTAATTTTGGAAGGGAAGTCATTTTCTTTAAAATTGAGGAAAATGAGTTGATTTGAAAAATATTTTCCAAACATGGAAAAATTGGAAAACATTTCCAAACACACCCATTATCTCTCTGGAGATTTGATTTTATAGTCTTTTACAAATTTATTTACAATTTTATGTTCCTACTACAAGATATTTTCATTTTTACACAATAGATATTCATTTTTATACACTTCCTTCGTTTCAATTTGTTTGTCTGATTTGACTTGGCACGAAGTTTAAAAAAGTAAATAAAAGTTCTGAATCTTGTGGTTTAAAGATAGAGATAAGTAGAATGTATCAAAATGTCATTTAATCTTGTGTTTTTTAAATATGTCATATGAAAAATTAAAATTAAAGAATTGCTAAAAAAAAAGTAAAAAAAACATTATTTTTTAAATAGATTAAAAAGAAAGTAAGACTAGCAATTATAACGGAAAGAGTCTATCAAATTTAAAAATAAATTCATTTTCTTTTATTCAATTTGCAGAGATCATTTCCTCTTTTATCTTTTTTTTTTTCTTCTCTTTTCAATTTGTAGTGGTTATATTTAAAATTTCCACGAGA